ACGATCCTTGTAGCCTTAAACCAGTGGCTTGGAACCAATTCAGCCACAAAGCAGCTTGCAAAATAACGACGGTCACTTACATGAAGGCGGTTGGCTGGGCTTGGGCCTTGTTTTCAAAATGCTGCAGCTCAGAAGTGCCTGCCAGTCTTTTTAGTTTAAATCGGTGTTTGTTCGTTTGGCTTGTTGCTCCTTTGCGCCGGTTGAGTCGACCAGTTGCGCGATGCCCAGCAACCCTGACAGCCGCCAAAACGTCGTAGGCGCAGCGTTTGATTGAGCCAAGATTGAAAGCCAGCGTTTTGAAGCGGCTGGCATAGGTGAGCATATACACTTGAAAACGGGCATAGTAGCCCTGGAAGCCATGAAACGACGGAGTCACTCCCTCCCTCGCCCCACCTCACCCGGCAACTCACGTCGCCTCACCTCTCAGTTACTCGCTCACTAGCTCACTCTTCAAACCACGCAGTCACACACATTCACTTACCCACCTATACTCACTCATATTCACTCCCTCATATTCACCCACTCACGCTGGCCCACTCAGATTCACACACTCGCATTCATTCACTCACTCATTCAATCACTCACCCAGCCACGCACTCACGCACTCACTCACTCAGTCACTCACTCACGCACACTCACTCACACACACACACTCACTCATTCACATTAACTCACTCACATTTGCTCACTTACATCCACTCACTCACATTCACTCACTCAATTTCTCTCGCTCGCTCGCTCACCCACTCGCTCACTCACTCAGTTACTCACTCACTTACTCGCTCGCTCCCTCCCTCACTCACCCGCTCACACTCTCACTCACTCATTCCTTCACTCACTCTACTAGAGCTTAAACTAGACCTTTTTTTTGGTGCCTCCGCCTCCACCGCGTTGTCGCCCCAGTGTCGGTCCGTCATCGGCGCCGTCTTGCTGCCGCCGACCTGGCATTGTCCGTTGCCACTTCGACCACCCGTGTTATTCTAGGCCGTCACTGCCCGTTGTACTACTTTCGACCCATCAACTATCACACGTCTCTTGAAACTAGATACTTATAGAGGCTTCACATAATTTTCATGGACACTTCCTAGGAACGTTAATGATATACAAGATTACATGGATTTTATTCCGTTTTTACTTTTGCCTTCGGTTGGTGTTTGGTACCTGGACCAACCCCTGAAGTCCTCCTGTTTCCTTAGCTTCCCTAGCCTTGCTCTGAAATTGTTTGCAGTTTCTTTCTGGTTTTGCTCCTTCTACTCTCACTCTCGCTCTCACTCTCACTCACCCGCACTCACTCTCACTCGCATTCGCTTGCTCACATTCACTTTCAGTTACACATAGTCACTTTATCCACAGTTACTTTCGTCAGCTCCCCAGCCTGAAGACCAGACAAGTTGGTACACACCAGCATCGACGAGGCCAGACAGATCCTTACATTCATCTCCCAGCATCGAGACCAGACAAATTGTTACAGTCGTCAGCCTCCCAGCGTCAAGGCCAGACCAATCGTTACATTTGTCAGCGTCGGGGCCAGACAAGCATTAGCAGCCCGGCATCGAGGCCAGACGAATCGTGACTAGGCCAGACAATCCGTTGCATGAGTCAGCTGCCCAGCATTCAGGCAGAACAAATCGTTGCACTCGGTCCTCTCACCCACTCAACCACCCACCGACTCACCCACTCACCCACTCCTTCACTCACTCACGCTCGCTCGCATTCTCACTCGCTCGCTCACTCGCTGACAGTCGCTCGATCACACTCACTCACTCACTCACTCACTCAGTCACTCAGTCACTCCCTCGTTCACTCACTCAATCACTCTTTTACTCCCTCAATCACTCTTTTGCTCACTCGCATTTCACACTCACATTGTCACTTTCACGCGCATGTGCTCACGTACACTCACTCCCCGTCACTCGCGCACATTCACCCACTCACGCTGCCTCACTCACCCCTCAGGTTCGCTCACTCACATGCACTCACTCGCTCGCTCGCTCGCTCACTCACCCGCTCTCACTCACTCGCTCACTCACTCACGCACTCACTCACAATCAGATTCAGATTCGCAGCCACGTTCACATTCACAGGTACATTCACATTCACATTTGCTCATTCTTTCACTCAGGTTCACACACACACGTTCACTCACATTCAGTCACCCACATTCTCACTTACTCGCATTCGCTCACGTACACTCACTCACTCACTCACTCACTCACTCACTCACTCACTCACTCACTCACTCACTCACTCACTCACTCACTCACTCACTCACTCACTCACTCACTCACTCACTCACTCACTCACTCACTCACTCACTCACTCACTCACTCACTCACTCACTCACTCACTCACTCACATTCACGGACTCAAATTCACTCACTCACATTCGCTCACTCGCAGCCACTCACTCACACTTACTCGCTCGCCATCACTTACTCACATTCACTCTTTAGCATTCACACACATTGACTCACTCACATCTACTCTCTCACATTCATTGACTGAGCATTCAGACACTTACTCGCTCGCTCGCTCGGTCGCTCACTCAGTCTCATTCACTTCCCCTCTCTCTCAATCTCTCTTTCTCTTTTTTGCCCTTGCTCTTGGCTTCCCACGCTCCAGGCTGGGGAAGACAGTTTGTGCGCGGTGGCCCTGCTTTGAGAATGCGCATTGTGATTCCTGGTTCATAAAGATGCTCGTTTCCTGACGGCTAGGAACAGTCTTTGCGCGCCTGGAAGCTGCTTCGTTGAATCGAACGCAGCACATACGGCCTTTTGGTACGTCCAGGGTTGCTAGGTGCGATTTCCGAAGACTGACGCGCGCCGTCTTTTCGTTGCTTCCAGGGTTGCTAGGCGCGCGCTGTCCACTGAAAGAAGCGCGTCTGGTCCGTGCGCACCCGCCAACTGCTTCAAGAATGCGGTTTTTGAATAAAGCTGCGCCTGCAGTTTTTGTGGCTTCCAGGGTAACGCGGATCTAGGCTTCTTTCATTGTGCGTCTGCCAACGGCGCAAAGGCGGTTATAGGTCTGCGGTTTTCGCGTGGCTTCCAGGGTTGCTGGATGCGTGTTTTCCACTGAATACCACGCATCTACACTTCGCACGGCTGCCAACTGCTTCGAAAACGCGGTTGCGCGGCCAGCTCTGTGTTTCAAGGCTACGGTCCTGTCGTAACTTCCAGGGTTGCTAGATGCGCGTTATTCGATGAGAGGAACACGCAAGTAGGCTTCCCAAAAATGCTGCGCGTACGGTCTTTGCGTGGCCTCCATGCTTTTTCCATTGAATAACATCTAGGCTGTGGATGCTTCTCCACTGAATAACGCGCATCTATGCGTTGCGCGCCTGCCAATTGCGTCCAAAATGTGTGTTTTTTCAAAGCTGCGCCTACGACGTTCTTTTCGTTGCTCGATGCGCGTTTTCCACCGAAGAACGTGCATCTAGGCTTTGTGCGCCTGTCAACTGATTCGAAAATGCTGGTTTTCGAGAAAGCTGCGCCTGCGGTCTTTTTATTGAATAACGCATTTTGCTGGATTGAAAATGCTGTAAGCTTGGTCCAACCATAAGCTGGCAGGCGGTCTTTTCGTGGCTTCCAGGGACGCTAGACGCGCTTTCCACTGAACAAGGAGCAAGCTCGTTTCAATCCAAAGCTGCGGCTACTGAGTGAGAAAGTGAAGTGAAGGCAAGTCAAGTGAAGTGAGGTGAGGCGAGGTTAGTTTAGGTGAGTAGGGAGTGAGTGAGTGAGTGAGTGAGTGAGTGAGTGAGTGAGTGAGTGAGTGAATGAATGAGTGAGTGTGAGGCTCTTTGTGGAAGATGAGGGGTCCATGGCGGAAAGAGCTGTCCAGCAACCCCCCGGCCGGGATGGGTAAACCAAGTGCAAAACCACAATTTCAAGGGGTCTCCTATTTGACACTGACTGCCTTCTTCTTTGCCGTTTCTTGGTTCATGCCGAGCTAGGCGTACACCCACAGGGTGCTACGATTTATCCTGGAGCCCCAATTGTAATTTGAAGCGTTCCACGTTTGGCCAAACTTGAAGAGCGTCCGTGGAAAGGTTATCTCCCTCCGATCTGTTTGTGGGTGCCGGAGGCTGCTCTTTGTCGGGCCCAGCTTGCGAACAGAGGCAGGGTTTGTGGCGCATGCTCCTCTGGGGCAAGTTGGCTCTATGTTCAACGCCGAAGCCTTAATGGGACGCAGCCTCTAAAACGGTATAGCCCAAATTTGTACCCACCAAGGGTCCCCAATTAGGATTGATAGGCGTGATCCCGCAGATGGCTTGTAAAAAAACTCTGGACGTATGGCCACCTTGTTGCGCGACCCCCCCCAACCCAATTCCCACGTCCCACAATAAAGGAAAACACGCTCAGACGCTTGCGTTTTATTCGCTGAGCACGCTGTCTTCTGCAACTTTTGGCTCAGACGACCCGGATTCGTCACGGGTGTCACCACTGCAGGCTGTGGCGAGTCGCAACTCGCACAAGGTTCGCGTCCTCCAAAGTTCATGGGGTGGCCTGGTTTCGGACCTGAGACGGCGTGTGTCCACCTGATTGGTGCATATGGTTTGAGTTGTTGGCAGCTGGATGTCCTTGTTGCTTTTGGCAGGGGTTTCCCCTTCAAGAGTTCCTCGGTGTATTAGTGCGTTCCACTGGAACTGCCACGTTTGAGGAGTCCCATGTTTGTTGGGTTTCCAAACAGTCCTTGTTCCGGGCTTGAATCTGTTTGGCGGGAGCTTGAGACGGATGTTTCGGCCATCCTCAACTAGCTATATCTTGGGGCCCAGGCGAGCCCCAGGCGGGTGAGGGCGCAGTCTCCTTGCGGCACGATTTTCCGCTGTTTGATTCCTCAGAACGCGCTTTGTGCAATTAGGCTCCCTAAGTTATCGAATTTGCGAAATTTAGCAGTCATGAAGCATAGGATTTCTGGAGGCATTTAACACGCAGGTCGTTACAATGGTACAGTCGACAGGTACGACTGGCGCAGTGTAAAGAGGGAACGCCGGGTACGGTACAATGCGGTATAAGGGTACGGCGCCCAGGTGCGACTGGCGCAGCGCAACGGTACGGTGCAAGGGTACGACTGGCGCGGTATAACGGTACGTCTGACACGGTGCAAGGGTATGACTGGTACGGTGCAACGGTACTTCTGGTACGGTGCAAGGGCACGCCTGGAACGGCACAAGCGTGCGACTGGCGCGGCGCAAGGGTACGACTGGCACGGTACAAGGGTACGACTGGTGCGGTGCACGGGTACAACTGGCGCCGCACGAGGGCACGATGGCACGATAGCGTAATTGGATGAGAGATTTCTCTTCGAAGCGTGGCGGGCATGGGCTCGATTCCAGACTGCGCTGGGGCGTCTGCTGCCTGTCGCGTCTACCCTTCTTGTTTGCTGGCTGTTGTTTGTGCTGCACAATGTGTTGTGTGCGCGTTTAAGCCTGGTGGCTGAGCGCTTCTTGGACTGCACAAGTTGTACCTTTGCGCAACACCAAACGTATCCTTGTCGCAGATGGTAATCTAGACTCTCTGTTTTCATGATACGTCAAAAGGTAAGTCTAGAGCCTGGCAAGTCTACGCCTGCAAAGTCTGGAGCCTAGAGTCTCAGAACTTGAGAGACTAGAGTCTTGCGTATTGGGCCGTTGTTTCTGCAGTTCAGGGCAGACTAAAACGACCACGGTTGAAACAGAAACGCCTTTCGCAAAGACAGAGTTTGTCTGGCGCCGTTGGTGCAGCTAATCAGGCTTTCAAGCAACGGCAGCCCATGTAAAGTGTAACCATTTGTTTGGCCAAAATGCTTAGCATTCGGCCAACTAGCGTTCCTTTTGCGGCGTCGAGGCACCAAATGGATGGAGCTGTCAACGCAGGAAAGGACACGAACAAGCAACGGCAACCCCCCTTTATAAGCGCAAACTCTTGACTTTGCCAAAGCTAAAACACATAGCCGCTATCTCCTGTGCCACCAGCGCCGCCAGCGCACCAAACTTGGGAATTCATGTAGACCAGCGCAGAAATACAGAAAGGGTGGCAACCCCATTGAAACTCTTTGTTTTTGCAAAATGTGTGGGGCACATAGCCGACATCCCTAAGAAGAGCGGCGCGTTGAAATGTAAGCGCTGTTGTTCTGAAGCTGGCAGGCCCCAGCCCGCCCCAACCCCCAGCATCGCTTGGCGGTAGAAAAGTGGTTGCGAGACGCTTCATATAGGTTCGATTTTCCAAATGGATAATTCTGGCGCTCCCAGATTTGGACATTCTCGCTTCCGCGACTGCTGATGCCAGGTGCAACCTGTCAGTTTTAGTTGACAGAAATCGTTTGGTTCCGTATCAGATGTGCCTGGGCGTCCTACCCAGCACCCAGGCGCCAGTGCTCACTGGAGCAAACCGGTGTACTGACCAGTTGTGCCAGCTTACCATACTAGGTGTACCAGCGCACCCCCACCAACCGTAACCAGGCGGCGTTTGTTGGAAACAAGGTAGTCATAAAATGACGCAAGAGTGTCAACTTGCACCAGGTGTACTGTACCCGTACCCGCCCGACCGTATTCCAAAAAAGGTCTGGCACACTCGGCGAACGCATCCGGCACAAGTTTTGGAACAAGTGCCAGACACAAGCAGTGCAGCCGGCAGGTATGGTGCTGAGCACACCTGTCACGGTGCAACATTTCCGCAGTTTGGTAAAGTGGCGCAGGGTTCGACGTAGCCATCGAGCTTTTTTAGGGTGCTGTGCTACGAACTCTGCAGAGCTTTGAATCTAGACTCGGCATTGTGTGGGGAGTTTCAGATTCTCTAAATCTAGATTCCGGAATTTGGGGGGCATATCTGGGTTTGCGTCTACTTCAACACGGGCCGCTGCTCGTCAATGTTGCTTGGCTTACATGAAGAGCCAGCAAAAAATAGGTGCTCGAGTTGAAGCTGCTCTGTAAACTGACCAGCCCACTGACGGTGCCGGAGATGCTTGGAATTTTGGCTGCGTGATGACAGCCTTGGCCAAACAACAGCCAGCGTCCCCGCATCCCTGACGCCGTTGATTCGAAGACCAAACACACATGGAAAGAATGTTAGAAGCATACCGATTGAATTTTTTTCCAAATCTCTGGGAGCATACAGTCAGCGCCCCTCGCATCATTGGGCCGCACCATCCATACAGGGTGGTGATGTAGAAACATTATCAGCCAGCATCATTGGCCGCGTCCACGCGCCAAATTTGGAAAACTGAATCTACATGAACATGACCCCTTTGTGCTCGCAGCCGCCCAAACAAGGGGTTTGAATGTTCAATTGCTTTCTACGTGAACAGCCAAGGTGGCACATGCGCGGGGCCACGTGGTGATGGGTGGCTTGATGAAATGAGTTGCCCCATGTGGCGCTTGAGTTTCAAGCTTTGGCCAGATCAAGAATTTGCCTCAGTTGGGGGTTGCCGTTGCTCGTTCGTTTCCTTTCCTGCTTTAACAGCTCTAACAGCTCCATCCATTTGGTGTGCGCCAACCGTGCCAAACAAACGCTGTCTTTGTGAAAGGTGTTTCTGTTTCAAAGGTGATCGTTTTAGTCTGCCCTGAACTGCAGAAACAACGACCCAAGACCCAAGACTCTAGACTACCTAGCTCTGAGACTCTCGGCTCCAGCTTTAGGCTTGCCAGACTCCAGCATCATGAAAAGAGTGAGTTTAGATTACCATCCGGGACAAGCGTACGCTTGGTGTTGCGCAAAGGTACAACTGGTGTATTCCATGGATGCGATTGACACGGAAGAAGGTGTGCCTGCGCTTCGCGCCCAAAGGACAAGCTGCTGTTTTGGGGCAGTTTACTTCAGAAACGGTCCGCCACCAGGCTTACGCTCACACACAAACACATTGTGCGACGCAGCGAACAACAGCCAATTCTGGCAAAACTAGGCAACTCGACCAAGGTTCCCAGGGCGCTGCGCCAAGCGTATCTTGGCGCCGCACCCGTCATACTTCTTCCGTAGCATCGTGTTGCGCGGTTCCTGTCGCGCCTTTGTGCCGTACCAGTTGTACCCTTGCACGTACCAGCCATTCCGTCGTAACCTTGCTTCGTACCAGTCGTACCCTTGCACCGCACCAGTCGTACCGTTGCCCGGCCGTACCATGTGTACCCTTGTGCCGCGCCACCATTATTGATCATCTTTCAGTGTTTGCAAAGGCCCCCACATGACTCTTCAATGTAGCTAAGTTTCAAAAGTGGTGACCTTTTCAGTTTGTAAAAAGTGGTGACGCCTTGCAACACTTGCAACAACCGACCCTTGAGTTCATGACTCAGGTTGCGCCATGCGGAACCGCGGGCCGGGGAAGTGGCGTGAATGGCGCTGGGGCAGCACAGCCTGAGTCCCTGGAGCTGTGCCTTGAGAACTCGGGTCTATGGGGTGTTGCATCTCCGACCCGTGAAATCCCTGCTGTTGGGAGTTCAATGCTGGCTTTCTTTTCGGCCTACTTTGAACATGCAACACGAGTCGTTTTTACCGGATTTAGGGAACGCAGGATGCAGCCCGTTGGTTCATGAGCCCGTGGTTGATTAAGAACAGCCGTCCCGTTGCTTTGGGGAAGCCCGTCCGTCATCCACCACGGAACAATTAGGGAATTGGGAGCTTATCTGTTTGCAGGTCAACTCAGCCCCAGGACAAGTTGGAAGGTCTATTCCCGGGTGTGAGCTCATTTTCCGCTCAAAGACTCGTACCCAAATCGCTGAACCATCAGGCTTGTGCCACGAGGATTGAACTTGTGGCATTTGCGGCCAGTTCTTTGGTTTGCAATCATGGTTGTCTTCTCCCATGTCGACCTCAGTTGGACAAAGGGAAATTTTGTTTCACTTGTGAGAATAGTGATTGTGCGCGTTGTGAGATGTGCTTCCTTTGTGTGCAAAGTTCACTGGCTTTCAGGGTGAGCCCCTCGATTCTTTCCCATTGCAGAGACGCATGCCTTTCAGAGACGCATGCCCCAATCGCAAGCCGTTGCGGCCCGGACCTCGGACACTGATCATGAACGATGTGGTCCCGCAGCATTGCCAGGTTGTGCCACTGTATCCACTGGAAGGGCCGCCCCCGTCACATCCTCAGCAATCATGAAAAAGCAGAGAGGCGCCTGCCCATGTTTGTTGCCATGTGTTCTTTCTTTATTTGTTTCTTTCTCTTTTACTTTCTCACTTTCTTTACTTTGTTTATTTCTGTATTTGTTTATTCGTTTGTTCTCTTTGTTCACTTTCTCTTGTTCTCTTTTGCTGCCTGTCTCGCTGTGATTTATGTATGTTTCTCTTACTCTCTGCTATTTTCAGTTTTTTTTGGTTGCTTGCTTTCGTGCCTTCCTTCTAACTTGTTTGTTTTTTACATGGTTTGTCCTTCCTTTCTTTCCTTTCTTTCCTTCCCTTTCTGCCCTTCCTTCCCTTTCTTCCCTTTCTGCCCTTCCTTTCCTTTCTTTCCTTTCTTTCCTTTCTTTCCTTTCTTTCCTTTCTTTCCTTGTTTCCTTCCCTCCCTCCCTCCCTCCCCTCCCCTCCCTCCCCTCCCTCCTTCCCTCCCTCCCTCCCTCCCTCCCTCCCTCCCTTCCTTCCTTCCTTCCTTCCTTCCTTCCTTCCTTCCTTCCTTCCTTCCTTCCTTCCTTCCTTCCTTCCTTCCTTCCTTCCTTCCTTCCTTCCTTCCTTCCTTCCTTCCTTCCTTCCTTCCTTCCTTTTGAGGTCCTTAAGGGGGCATGTGCTGCCTAGGGTTCAAATTCTACTAATTCCGGCGAGGATGTGTTTTGATTTATTTGGGCTTCACGTGGTGTTTCCCGCACTCTGTCCTCCAAGCTCTGTGTTCAGAGCAGTTTTGCGGCCTTGGTGCAAATTTGTTGGGGTTGATGTTATACAAGAGTTTCAGCCAATGCGATTTCAAAACAATCTCTCACTTTGCGGTCTTAGCGTGCTTGAAGCACGAGAGAGGTTAGACAGCAGTGCCGTAACTTTATGACTCTATTTTTTAGCTTTTAGGCTGATGAGTGTTGCCAGGCTTTTTTCGGGCTCCTCAAGCTTCCCTTCCCTGAGGCTCCGCAAGCTTCCCCGAGCTTCTCAAAGCCTCCCCAAGCCTCCCGAGCAATTTATGAGAGTTCCCGAAGTTTTGCTTGGTGCTCTTTGAAACTGCATTCTTGCTGAATTCTGGGTTGGCCTTCTCGGGGCCTTTAAAGGTCCTTGTGTGAACTTGCGCGAGGTCCAGGGGAGGCGAGCCAAGGGTGTTGCAAAAATTGAGGGGCGCCAGGCCGCCTTAAGTGTTTCAAGTCGCTCAAGATCTTTTGGCCCTCCACAAACACCTCTCCACAGGCGCTGCGGCACAGCGCGCGTCACCCGCGCTTGTGGGCTGGGCAGCCCCTGCAGACGGAAGCCTTCTCACTAGGCTGCAGAAAAAGCGACGTGCGACCCAGGTAGCGCGACAGGCACGCATAGTACTGGAACTTCTGAACGCTGAATGCTGAATGCTGGGGCCAAAACTGCGATCTGCAGCATCCGGAATTTGCTGAAGTGGGCCCCTGTTAGGCAATGCTGCTGGTTGGTTTGACAAAGAAACTAGATGGGGTCAGCGGCCAAGTTTGCGCCAACAAGGCAGCCCTAGGCCCTAGGCCTTTTTTTGGGCCATTGAACCGCCAAGCGCCCAGGCGACGCAACACCAACGCAACTGTGCGAATCTTGCAGGCCCAAGCAATGCCAGACAAACACGCAACTAGCCCAACCACATAGTTGTCCGCAAAAGAATCCAAATACAAATGATTAACTCTTGTTGGCCTCCGCAGGGCCGCCGCACCTTCTTTCGTGTGTTTCAAGCCAGCCGCAGTCATCCGGGAAGCGGGCGCGTGCGGCGATGATGCCGCGCGTAGGCGCCTGAAACGGGCAGGGGAGGGGCGCGTCGCATAACCGCAGCAAGGGCCGACACGCGGCAACGCCGTAGGTTTTATCAGCCACACACTCAGCTTAGAATCGCGCTTGCTCGACGCGCTCCTCCGGTCACTTGTTTGACACGCTCATCCGATACCGCTCCCAACCGCATGAGCGGTGGAGCGCATGAAAGCAGTTGAGGATGACATCGTAACACTCCGCTTTAAATTCCACCGACTTCGGTTAGGCTTTTTGGCGGTAGCGGTTGCAGAGCCAAAAACGGCTGGAACGCCAATGAGGCCAATGGGGTATTAATGCACTACAGTTGTGATAGGGTGAGGCGAGCGATGCAGATGAGCCTGGAGAGCAAAGCATCGCTGCCAAGCAGGAACTAAGAACCAAGCTCATGATGTTGTTGGGTCACGAGCTTCAACATGTAACGAACACCCAAAGCTGCGTGGGCTTCGATTTCCACCGCGCAGCAATGATGATTCTGGCCAAAGGCCCTGCGTGGAAGCACCAGTAGCTCCCACTACCTGCTACCGACACACGCGCCCGGTCAATGTTCACTACACTAGGTGTCTTGCATCTTTCGCTGTCTTCGGCAGAAGGGGGGCAGTTTCTGAAGTGCTTGACTTTCCTAGCTTGTCCCTGACACACACAGACCGACCACGGGCGCCGTCAGCGCCGCCCTCAGCGAAGAGCTCATCACGCCTCTCACCCTTGCACTTGAACATCTCACCAGAATGCGCTTTGAGGGGCTTGGCAGTTAAGCAGAACCCATAACCAGGCAATGGGCGTAGCGAACGAATATGAGGAACGACGCAATGAAGCGCCGCAGTGCCAACTGATTAATGCGATGACCAGTTGGCAGCAATCGATGGTGCACGCCTGGCCACAACGTTCTTCACATTGCAGATGCTGTCTGATTTCTTGCGTGCCCCAACATCCATATCGATCTTTTCCCCCTGGAACATCATGGCTGTACTGATGGTTGATCAGTAACCATTGGCGCCACCCACGCACCACATGGTGATGAAACGTCCAGCGGCGAGAGTCTGGCGCCGCCAACTGCGAAATTGAAGCCTCAGTGGTCACGTCTACCGCGCTTACTGCATTTTCAGTGGGTTCTGTTCAGCCATTTAGGAAGCGTTGCAAAAAGGAACCAACAGGTCACCGTGTCATCCAGTGATGTTTATAACAACTCGATGTTCTGCGCCAAGGCTCCAAACTTCGAGTCATTCTTCTTCGCAGAGATCGGCGCTCGGCTCACTAGTTTCCCTGGCCCGCGCTGCGCTTGCGCTCGAGCCCGGCCGTTCGCAGGCACAAGGTCTATAGCGCGCTCGCCTCACATTCAAACGTGTTGCCAACCGTCATTTTGCCGCGCAAATCTAAGCCAACAAAATGCGTGATCATGCGGTCAGGGACACAGTTAAAACACATCGTAGAACATGTATCAACCGGCCAACCAGCAGGTCGCACCTGCTCTGATGTTGTCTAAGCTTGTAAGCCGTCGAGGGACCCGCCGAGCCAAAGTACATGAGCATGAAGTCACCAGGCAGCCGGCGCAGTTGAGCGTCACGTCCTTTTGCGATATCAGAACAGACCCAGCTATGTACAGCGCAAGTACGAAAGGAGTAAATACCACTGCCGAGTCAATTGCTTTTGCTAGCGTCCTTTCTTGAGGGATTAGCTCTGGATTTAGTTCTTCCTGGGCCTCCAGCCATCGGACGCGGCGACGCTCCTTCGAATCAGGACTAAGTGCATCACGCAGCTGCTCACCAGCATTGCTTCGGCCAAACCTGAAGGTCCTGATTGCACGGCCCGAAAAGAGAGTCACGTTACACCAGCGTGCTGTTCTTGGCTCAAACTTACTCTCATCCGAATCGCTGACTGCGTGGCGGGCCAGCGCGTTGGCCAACCTGGTGGTGCCGGGAAGCTTCGACTTGAAGACAATCCTGATCAGCCAACATCAAGCCCATCACGCGCCTTGCGATCGCTACGAGCTGCGGCGGGCACAGATGGCGACAGCTACTGCAGCTTCTGGCAACGATGACGCGTAAGACGCAGAGCGCAGTTGGAGTCTCGGGGGGAGATCCCTTCAACTACGGTTCGTCACCCGAAGCGCTCGAGTCCGACTTGACGCTCATGTTCCAGCTTCAGGCGCAGACCCACCTGCTCGACACGGCGTGCGGCGCAGAGAAGCATTGGCGTGACAAGGTCATCATCCATGCGGCCGACTCTTCGACCGGACCACGCGGTCGTTTCAATTTAGACCTGCGCAGTGAGAGTTGGATCTTGCTTGACCGAGAGGCATCTTGTGAACTGTTCCAGGCTGTTTCCCAACACAACGTCGCTGCGCGTCCATGCGATTGTTCCCACGCAGGCTGGGCTTCGCCGGACGACGTCCTCAAGAACATGGTCCCTTCCTTGGTGTTGTTGCCGCCGCTTGGTCCGGATCTTGGCCAAGTGGCCACGCCATGCGCGGCTAGGTGTTGAAACCAAAGTGAAATACTTCCACGATCTGGCTAGCTTGCGCATCATGGTATCACACAGGTGTATCTGGCTCTGCGCAGCAAGGTGGTACTGGTGTTTCACACACAGCAATGAGAAAAACAGCGCGACAGACAGGCTCAAGGTTCAAGGCAAACGTCGTGCGCAAATGGTCAAAATGTTTCGCAGGGCTCGTTGGTCGGAGCCATCATCTCCCGTGTTCAGGAACACACGCACGCGCCCAGAAGGAAGCTCGCCATTCCTGAGCGCGCGGACAGTGGAACCGTGGTGCTGGCATAGGATGTTGCAGCGCTCGCGCCTGGTGGTTGTTGTTAAATTAAAATGACACATTCACCCAGTTTCGTCAGCGTGATTAGTGGAGCCCGAATAATGTGAACTTGTGGACCGGTAGAAAGTGACAAAGATGCACAAGTGAAATTTGTCTCTCAGTCCATCACACGAGTGGTTCGCAGGCGTGGCGAGAGGGCGCGGTCACCTCAACTCACCCGCTTGAACCAGCCAAGGATCTTCTTTGCGTCAGCCAGCTCGCGCAAGGTTCTTACGCCGAGCCGCGCCAGCTGTTTGCGTGCGAAAGACATGTTGCCGGCTGCTGTTCCGTCAGCGCAGACTTGGTCTGACCTGAGTAAAGTCTCAGTAGAGGCAAAATAATGCATCACCCCTGTCTGATTGCAAGTGGGGCTGAGGCTTGCAACAAGCGACTGTCAACCGACAGCCTCATAGCTAATTGAAGTAGGTTCCGATGACCTCGCGCGTCGACCGCGAGCCAGAAACTCTGCTGGGTGCAAAAGAGACAACTCTTTTTTCGATGTGTAGCAGCGCGGCAGTGGTTTCAGTTTTCCCCACCATGGGCAGGTGAACAGTCCTCACTTTGCTCTAAGCCACCCGACCTAGATGCCAAACAGCTACTGTGTGATTCAGGGGGCGTCAACAACGCCATGAGCTGGAAGGGAATTTCAGAAGAAAAGGTAAGACGCGCCAAGCGCAGCCGTCATCATCAACAACAACCAACAATTCAGTAGAACAATGCCAGGGCAGACATACCCGTGAAACATCTAAAGCGCCCAACGAAACACACACACACACATGCAGACTTATTTTCTGTAGCAGTTGGAATGGTTCTCAAAAACGAAAGTGTCATGTCCAGTCACGGCACCGCTTACATGCTCTTCAACGCGCTCACAGAGTTCTGTGACACCAATGATGGCCAGTCAACCGTTAGTGTTTGTGGCAGTGCCACGTCAAGTTACGGAACTTATGGAGTTAGGTTCAGTAAAGACACAAGTGACTTAAGCGGAACATAGAAACAATTTAAGGGGAACTTGCGAAAATGTGTTTGGAGGAGATGAGCTGAGTCATGCGGTGTTGTGGATTTGTCGAAGAAGGCTATTTGCTGGGGACGGGAGGGGGGGTGCGTATGTGCGCTGTCATCAAACCAGGCGAGGGAGGCGGAACAATGCGAACGCAGCGTGTCCGGGCTGAGGGAACGCGGAGGAGTAGCGGCTATAGCCTTTCGTTTCGCTCTGTTGTGTAGAGGGTGTCCAACGAACGTCAGTTTCAGGGGGCGGGTCACCAGCGCGTGGCACCAACGCTAGAAGCATTACCTTATATCTCTGTGTTGGAACAAAGGACGAGGAAACCATAGGCAAACCGAGTTCTGCCGACAATGCATCATCATCATGAGATTGACAAGGGCCTGGGCTTCTCATTGAGCCGTCCTGAGTAGTCTCATGATGCTCATCATCAACACGCGCTGCGTCCAAAGGCTGTTCTTGCGCTGGCTGGTCTTGCAAGGTAGCAATTGACTTTGCAGCATGCCTACAATACGGCTGAAGTGCACTGAGCGCGCGGTAAGAATCGCTGCAACCAACACTTCGCCACGCGTCGCTGTCCACCTGCTTACATCCAGCAATGATGCCTGGGAGAATGAGCTTGCCGACGCCATGGCTATCGCCTTGCGCAAGCCTAGGTTGATGCTTCCCCGCCGTGTCACACGCCTTCCCTGACCACGACACCGATGAATGGTCCCGCATTTGTACGCGGAAGTCGCTGGAACGCGGCCTTAACTTTTGGGACCCTTGATGTACTGGTTATGCCATAGTGTTGTTTTTTTGCTCCTGCTGGTTTACCTTTTCTTCTTTCCTCTTTCCTTCCTTGCTTCCCTCCCTGCTTGTTTTCCTGCCGTCCGGTTTTTTTGTTTGCTGGCTTGCCCAGTTGCACGCTTGCGAGATCTCAGGCACGCATGCTTACACAGTGGCCACTTGTGAGGTTTCAGCTTTGAGGCCTCAACTAGCGCACGCAACTTCTGAGAAGACCGTCGCTTGGAATTCAACACATTTGGGTGAACATCTGCCTCAAAAAATAACCCGCCATACGGCGAATGGATTAGAAGCTTGCCTCTAGGCAGCGAATCGGCTTCTCCGTGCAACCCTGATTTCTGCAGGCGCTGGTATATCGGCGCCCCCCCCCCCAACCCCAATAAGGCACATGAATCCGAAGTTTCAATCATAAGGTTTAAGACTTAGTCTGACATTGTTGTTGGGTAGGGTGTCTAAAGGTTTTCCTGTTACAGCCAAGGTTCACAGATGCCCAGCTCACCACTACCATTGCGCAAGTTATGGTTTGTGTGCGCCTGTCGTTTTACGCTGGCCGACCTATGAACGTCATGTTCTTTCGATAACAGGGCTTGCCATTCCAAGCCAGCAAAACGCAGCTGAACGATTTGGAGGCCTGGTGCAGGAAGGGCGGGTTAGCTTTCAGCGCGTGCTGGGGACAGTCGCAAAGAGGCCACCTACAGTTTACTCTATCCAAGTCAGCCGCCGCAAGTGAACCAAGCAAAGGAACATAGTTGTTGCCAAAAGTTGTGATCTAGTTATCTAAGGAGAGTTGCGCGTCGGAGATTCAGGCCAAGATGCCCAGCACGGGTTCTGGTCAAGGTTCGTGCCCAATTCGCTATCTTGAAGTGTGGCCAGCTCCGCAGGGTAGCGAGGCTGGCTTGGGCGGCGCGCGGTAGTAGGTCCTCCCACGCGCGCAAAGGCACCGCGCTTCTCGTAGGCCAGCCCCTGGAAGGGGGGCGGGGCAAACAAACCCAAACAAACAAATGTTGAGGCCGGCGAAGAGTTTCCTATTGGGGGGTTTCATGAAACCCTGCCCAAGCGTGCTTTGATTATAACCATTCTCGGGAAGATAGAAAAGCTCGAGCATATGGAAAATGATCTTAAAAGGGGGGCCCTGCGATAAGATAGAAAGTTTCTGGAAATGACCCCTCGTAGATTACTTCAGTATGGGGAGTTTTTTCAGGGGGAAAGGTGATCCCTTGGAGTGCCAAAAAAAGTTTCTATCTTTCCGCGGAGCGAATCCAGACCAACCCTTGAAAGAAATGTCTCGTCCTGCGGAAAGAGCAGACAGGAGCCTTGAAAGTTCTGCCCGAGACATAGTGGCGTAGCGTTCCCGCGAGCAGATCTGGCCTGATCTTCGAGCCAGCGAGGTAGCTGTGAGTCAAAAAGGGAACCTCCCATGGACAGACGCAGAGGTCAGCGCTGTGTCCGCTCCAGCCTCGACTGCGGCGCTGAAGCGACGGCGCGCAACTGCGCAGCTTTCCCAGAAGACCGGCGAGCAACCCGTAGGCGCCAAATCCAAAGGCATGCCTTCGTTCATCTTGCCATGGCCAGGTAGCAGGCCGCTCCCTCGGCAGGCGGCAACTCTGGATCGGCCTGCGAGCCGCAGGCGCAGGCAAACGCCCTCCAACCACATTAATTAGGTTCAAATCTGTCTCCAGAACTGGTCGACTGAATCGGACTGGGCTTGCTGCGGAGGCGCTAGGCGCACTTGGCAGGAGGCGCGCGCGCCGACCAAATAACACCGTCCAGCCGGCAGCAACGCTGACAGTGGGCCTTTGCAAGACAGCGCCTGCGCGCTTGCGCCCGGAGTGCCTCCCGCCGCTTAGCCAACAGTGACTGACAGCGGCGCGTTGGCAAGCAGCGTGCAATCTCCTAAGAGTGTCGTTGGTCGTCCGGCTCCAAGACTTGGCAACAATGTATGACATCTATCTACTTATCTGTCTAGCTGACTTCTCTGTGTCTATCCACCTGGCCTTGAAAGTGCTGCGCCTGCCACGAAATCTTTCCCTCTCTTTGCTCCTGCCGCAAAATCTGCGCCTGACTTTGCGAAGGCGTTGCGCTTGCGCCTAGACGCTCCAGCGGTGCACGAAAGAAACCATTTCCAAGAAACCGTGTCAAACGTCGCTGTTGGCAACGGGCGCCAACAAAACGCATCACGTCGCTCAAATCGCATCATTTTATCGACAAACCGCACTTGGTTTGTAGAAGCGTTAAAGGGTTGCGCGGCGGACAACTTTGAAGCCTCTAGGTTGCGCCTGCCACCAAATCTGGACCTTGCGAAAGTGCTGCGCCCGCCACGAAATCCGCGCCTGACCTTGCGAAAGTACTGCGCCTGCCGCACGCAAGTGCTGCGCCTTCCAAGTGCTGCTGCTAATTCTGCAAGAAGCGAAAGCAGCCGTGCCAAGCACCCCAGCCCCGAGATTGGTTCAACACGCTCCGAACGCGCTCCTGACGTGCTCCGAAAAGGCTCGACCACGCTTAGAAAATGAGCGCCCAAACCAAAGCTCCAAAACCGGCCGTACCACGAACGTTCCTAAACATCCTGTCATTGCTGCTGTCCTTCATTTGTCTTCTGTCTCTTTCTTTTTTGCTGCCTGTCTGCTTGTCTTTCTGTCTTTCTGTCTTTCTGTCTTTCCGTCTTTCTGTCTTTCCGTCTTTCCGTCTTTCATTTTTCTCTCTTTCTTTTTTTTATTTCTGTGTTTTTGTCTTTATGTTTTTTCGCTCTCACTCTCTCTCTCTCTTTCTCTTTCTCTGTCTCTCCTCATTTTCTCACCTTCCGCTTTTCCTGCCACCTTCAATTCCTATTCCTAGATTTTCTTGTATGCTCTTCTTGTTACAGATCTTTTCCTCAATTGATTTCCGTCGCTTTCCTTTACTCGTTTCTTGTCGTTTCTTCTCTGAAAGGGCGTGACCTGCACTCTTGTCTCCGAGGGCGTAGTTGAGCTTGTCGAGCTTGCGTGCCATGGAACCCGCCAAAACGTTTCTGCTCGCATTCTGTGAAAGGCCTGACCCGCTGGATCCGTCAGCGGCCAAACCCTTGAGTTTGGGACTGAGCTTGGGATGCGGCCGTAAAGGAGCAGTGCGCCAAGTTGGTTTCTCGAGCATTCACATGTTCCATCCCAAGAGTTGCACCTTAGTAAATGCCGCGAAAGTGGCCCAACAATCGGGAGGTTTACCCAGAAATGCTTGCAAATTGGGATAGTTTCCGAGCGGAACCCGTGACACAAGGTTCCTCGACAACTTTTTTAGACTGGTGAAGCAAACGTTGTGGCAAAGGTCAGCAATGCCATGAGCGCTCCAATTTCAGGGTTCCCATTGCGGGATTGGTTGGGGCGCGTAGCCTTGTTCCCTGACCCCGGCGCTGACTCTCAGGCGAGATCGCTCACCTGACAATCACAAAGCTGACTGCTGGCGGTCTCAGTCAGATTTTGTTTGCAGGGCTTATAGTGAGCTCGATACCGATTTTCATGGGTTTGTTTGTGGCAGGCTCATGACTGGAGAACCCTGAGGCAAAGAATTGCCAAGCCAAGCTCACAGACTCCATTGCAGAGTTGGTTCCAAGCTTAGAGTGACTCACGGGATGGCGCTATGTCCATTTGAAGCCACTCTGCTTTCCAGGTGAAAACGTGGCGACCTCAGGTGCTCCGGTGGCCGAAACGAAAAGACATGTTTGCCAGGTTTGTTTCCTGCCAGGATTCGGGGCTTGTTTTGCTAGCAACTCTGGGTTTGTGGCATGCTCGCCACGCGCACTTGCAAGAACCCCCATGGACAGCGCAACTGAAGGCCGCCCAGGTTTTGCGCGGATTCAAAGAGCCCAACGTCAAACTGTGGAACGGGTAGCCAAGAGCGGATGTGATGGATGTGTGCTTCGAATATTTGTCCACGTGATGTTTTTTTAGTTGGCGCGGGGGCGTTGTGATCGAGGCCCGACTCGCCTGGTGGACGCTTCCAAGAGAACCGGTTGCGGCAGCTTTTTAAGGCGTCGCGGGCAGTGCTTCGGGACTTAACTTAAACGCCATGTTTCTGTAGGTTTCGTTGAGAGCTTCCTTCGCCGAATTCAATTTGCACTTAAAAATGCAAGCTTTTGGTGACCTGTGCTTTCAACGTTTTTTGCTGAAGCCCGCTTTCGCTTTTCAGAACACTTGTCTGTTTGGAAAGCACACTCGGCACTGCACCCATGCCAGCCACCTAATAAGCACACCCGCGCCCGCGCGCCCGCTGACGCGCACCCGCTCAGCGGTGTATCCACGCCTGCCAAATGGTGCACCTTGGAAACCGTTTGTGCACGCTTGGCTGCGGAGACGAGAGCATGTGAACACAGACTTACTTTCCCAGCCAGGCAAGTTGCGCGTGTTATTTTTTTCGGGAGATCGTATTTGTTTGTTGGGCGCACGCAGCGCTATGTGACGACGGATAGAAATGCAACCTATGCCGTGACACCGGTGTGTCGTTCCTTGAGGTACCCTTTCTGCCGTGGTTTTGCAGGGAAAGCAAGAAGAAAACCACGCCGGTTTTTTAGCGGGTCCCCTGCAAAACAAAAAGACAACCAAAACAGAAGACAGAACTGTGCAGCAGCTGAGCAAGGGAAGTCCAGAATATACTCCTTAAAAGGCCATGTGGGTTTGGTTTTGGGTCAAGCATAACTGTAGGAGGCAGAATTTGGGCAGTTTGGGTTTCACTGTGGCGGCAATGCTTGTGCAGTTTCTGCAGACATGGCTGTAAACAGAAGACATTGCATCAGTGCTGGACGGATCAGACTTGAAAAGTAGGAGCTGGTTCTCTGAGCCTGGCTGATCCGATTTCGCCCTTGTGTGCCAAGCGCGGAGCCCTGCCGGCAGAAAGAGGCGTCCGCCAGGCAACGGAACAATCGTCAACATTAGTTGTGTCTAGATTGCCGGGGGGGTGGGTGGGTGGGTCAAAAGGTACCAGGCAAAGAAAGAAGCGTTCGCTATGTCTAGATTGTACGGTTGAGCTTCAACCTTCCGCCTACACAAAAAATACGCCCCTCAGTAAGCATGTTCTTTGTTGGGAGACACACTTATCAACAGGAGCCTTGGGGATATGCACTGCTGTCCGGCAAAGGGCAGATATGCCACTTAAGTGTTGGCACGGGTTTATCGTTTCTTGAGGTACCCGTTGTGCTATGGTTTTTCAGGAAGGACACTGACAAACATTGTTTTATGTGAGGGCCTCCTAAAAGCCAACAACCAACAGTTCTTGCAGTTCGTGCAGATGTGTATAAGACAAGAGCATGTTATCAAGACTTGGTCGACCAAGCTTCAAAAGTTCGTGCAGTTTCTCCTGTCATGGCTGGTCCTATTTGGCCCTCAGTTGGGAAGAACCTGCAAAGGTTCGTGCGGTGTCCGGACACTGTCGAACTCCCAGCTTTGAGGCAAAAAACCACATGAACTCACGACACACCGGCTTCGAGGGGATCGTCGTGGTGAATTACGCACAACGATTTCAATCAGTGCAGCTTGCTTCAGCGAACCTGCGATTTTGCTTTTTGCGGCGTAGGCAGGCGGGTCTTCGACGCAGGGGCGCGTCCACCATTTTTGGGGGTCTCCTGTTTCTAAAAACACTAGCATGAGCCACATTCAAAACAACAAATTGAGGATGCGTAATTTTAAGAACGCGCACATTTTTTTGGGCCTTCCCAATGTTTGTCTCCTTGAACTGTGCCCGCCTCTATTTAATTGAGTGACAGGACACGGCCATCGCCAACTTGTCCACGGAGGACCCGACCTGCCCGGCGGTCGGGTGGGGGTTGAGGAGTTTTCCAGTCATACCGGGGAAATATTGTAGAAAGTTTGTTATACTTGAGCAGTTGTTTAAAGAAACAACAAAATTGTGGTTTCCTTCAGTCTCCCTTCACCCGCAAACATGTACGAGAAAGAACAGTGAATGCATTTGTCATAGGAAGAGTTGTTTGCAGTGGTTCGCCTGGACGTCTCCTGAAACGAAAGCCGGCCTCACATATCATCCAAAATTTGAGCACACATGCTCGCGACAGGAGGTGGAGGATATTTTCCCGGCGTGCGGCACTCAAATTCTGCGGTTATGGACTCATGCCAGCCAGGTCATTCCTTGAGGGTCACCCCATGTTTTGCCTTTAGCACTGCGCCAGCGTGCGAGCACATGTTATGTTCTACATATCTATATGCATATATATATACATGCATATTTGCAGCTGCATTAAACAAACATATTGGCCATTCACGTTCCGTGAGGCTGTTTAGAATCCATGTTGTCTTGTGCTGGGTTTTGTTTGTGTTTTTTTGGATGCATAGGCCTGTGGCACCTGACCCACCCAGCCGAAGTGGATCCCGGCGGCCAAGCAGGCGTAGAGTCAAGTTTTGTATGGAAGTCTTTGTGCCCGTCTTGGTAGACTGGGCGCTCAGGTGAGCTACAATCACACTAGGCCCCCCCTGTTTGGTTGATGTGTCAAGACGGAACAGGAAACCGTTCAAGAGGCCTTAGAAACATTGACAGTACAACAATCAGTAGGGAGTCTCCTTAACAGGAACTGCCAAGGTAAAAAGTCCCCCCATCCCTCAGTCCCTCAGTTCTCAACCACGGGAAACCTGCCGAATTGTCGGACTGCGTTTGGGGTGCGTTTGAAGAGCTCAAGGTGTTGCTTTTGAAGCCCTTCGATATTCCGGGTTGCCTTTGCGCCGTTTGCCAGATCCACCTCTCGCAAAGCCAGCAAGGACCGACATTGACCTGTAACATCGGCCGATCAAGATCAGGGCCCTTGAAGCAAGGAATCTGCTTTCGGACACGCACCTGTTTGGCAATGCAGTATAGGGAGTCATATGGCAGTGGCTTAGCGGTCACGTGTGCTGAGCGAATGAGCGAATCGTGCTGAGCGTCACTCAGGACAAGAACATGGATGGCTGACGTCGGGCGCAAAGGCGCCTGTGCTGCACTCGGAAGTACTGCTCAGGATCCCTTGGAGTTGCAAAGGTTGCAGCGTGTTGCAGCTTTGGTCCCCTGCGCGAGGCGCGGAAGGGAGGCACTTTAGGGAGGCACGTTGGGGTGTCTTTTTGCAGGTGCGCGTTTTGGGGTTGGTGTCAAGGAAGTCCACAGGGAAGAAACATGGCTTGTGATCTCTGAGGAGCAAGGTCGCACTCTTGCCGCGCGACCGCGGGCTTGGAATTCGGTGGAAAGTGCATGAATCGACTCACTGAAATTATGAGTCTGTTTCACGCCGCGAAGCCGAGTTGCTTGAGGGTATTTTCATTGTTGCCACATACAACCTAGGCACACTGGACAGCTTCGTTTTTCGGTTTTGCTTTGCGGCACACTGATGATCACCCATTGCCTTGGGACTGAAAAGCAGCAGGGCCTGAGTATATAGTGCAATTTAGGTGTGTCGTTGTTTGTTGAGTTGGTAACCTTTGGGGTTCTACAGGTGAGCCAAGGGACAGCATGCACTTGTGGTCCGTGTCCGGCGAGATTCCTGCGACCTGCTAGGACTGGGCGGGGAAGGAGTTGACGCTGCAGAGTGCCAGTGTCCCAGCATTCCAACTGGGAGTGACTTGGAAGCGACAAGACCGCTGATTTTGGAAAGCCTCCAAAACACTTCGAACGAGAGCAAACATGGCCAGCTGCAACACCTCAGTATTCCATGGGCAAATTGTTTCGATGCTTGGGTCTTTCTGCCCATCTCACGGCTGATGGCCACAGCCAATTTTCATGGTGGCTCCGCAGATAAGAACCCCATATGTTTTTGGAGACTCCTTGGTGAACGTCCCTGATGCCTCATGCCGGCAGCATCGTCCCCGGCTATCGTCCCCTGCTATCCAGATTACTTGTCTCCTCTTGATTGAAGCGGAAACACCTTTGCCAGGCGATGCTTTCAGACCGACAATGTAAACGCTGCATGCACAACTTTGGATTGAAACTGAGGCTGTAAGCGCATGCAGAAAACAGGGAGGTCCACGCAGCACGTGTCACATACTCAAAACAGCACAGCGGTCAGAAGAGATCGAGTTACTCGCCAAGAACAGGCGACCCTCTTTTGGATGCTGTGTAGAGAAACCAAAGGAATCAACCAACCTCTGAGGGTCACAATATCCTGCAGACAAGCCACTGTCAGCCACATAAATTTGGACTAATTCTGCCGCGTTCTGGGGGCGCAAGGCCCAGAAATTCCTCGAGAGGGTGAGGGACGCCTGTTCTAGCCTGGTGCCCAGCATGTTTGCAGATCCTGCAAGGTCCTACACACCCCAAATACCCAAGTGGAGATACACCAATCCCGACCCCACAGCCCAATCAGCAATCCATGCGTTTGGTTTGCAAGCGGTGTGTGTGTGTGCTCATTTCTTGGTTGGTTTTCTCGGACGGCCCTCTCCCGACGGATTTGGATGGGCGTTCATTTTTGGCTCACTACAAAAGCCAACACAGATTCACTTATTCTGCTATCTCACCTGTGTGCGCCGGCCAAAAGATATGTATATGAATATTCATGCCCAACCTTTGACATTGTATGTAAGCTGGGTAAGTTCGAGGCTTGAATTTGTACCTATGTTTAGCCAAGGTTCGGAATTCCAAGAAAACTTGGCCGAAGCTACGTCCCGTGCTGCCGGCGTTGTTGATGGGCTTCGACCTTGAAGCAGGTGCGTCAGTTTTATCAAAAGCGTGTCCCCCACGATTGGACCTTTTAAAGTCGGTGCTCAATGTCACTGAAGCCATGCCTGACATCAGGCTCCAGAAGCTCGACAAAACGCTGCCTCCGCCCCACAGTGTCAATGCTCAACCGGAATGAATGAACTCGTTGAACATACTCATGCAACGAAACCCCACAGATTTAAATGTTGGGTTACCCCTATATGGAATTCAGACCAGGGCGCGGCAAGTACTTCAGAAAGGACTATTTGGATTTAGTTCCCCTTGGTGGCAGCCAAATAAATGGAGCCTGCGCAACTCACCACGCGAGGCCCTTCCGCATATATTATCAAGCCTGCGGACCCTTTGGCATGTCTCAAGCAGACCTGAATGGATCCTGTCGAGACGCGGCTTGATCAAGTCTTCTCGGATCACAAGAATCCTCGCTCAAGGTCCCCCTGAAAAACCCTGTCAGCTGCAGGGTCACCGTCAGTTGTGCGGGCTTGGTCGTCCAAGTGAGAGTGGTAGAGGGTCCCACTTCGACATACCCGATTTCACACTCTATCGAGTTTTGGCCAGGGCGAGGGGGCTCAGATTTTGGGCGCGCGCGCATGGCCGCGGGGGCGCTCTTCATCGGGGCTTGCCGGCACTTGCTGAGGCGGGCGTGGCGTTGGAGGGACCAGCTCAGGTTCTATTTTTCGTTGCTCACCCCAGCCAAGCGTTCCCGGTTCGCAGTACGTGCCAGCATCGGTTTCATGCTGGCTTCCTGCAAAAACCCGATAGTCGGCCCCTCGTGTCCAAAACTGGCACGGCTCACTGCAAAACAATACGGAGAAGATAAAACGATATCGGTCGTTTGTCAGCTTGGACAAGCACAGCTTGTTGGGCAGCAAACTGGTAGCTGACCAAAAACGAAAATAACTAAAACAGTAGCGTCTTGCGCATGAACTGCCTTTTGCTGCCAAAGTGTGCTCCGCGTGCTACACTTGCACTGAAAGGTTGATGGCGCTGCCAAAGTGTACTTCGCGTACTACACTTGTTCTCAAAAGGTCGATTTTCGAGGCTGAACGCGTAGAAGTTCAATACACTGCAAAGCGATAAGGAGTTAAAAGCCGACGTCCCCAGAAAAGTCGGAGGTTTTATACAACCTCCCCTAGCTACACAGCAAAACGGCCGTCCCTCCCAAGAATGACCACATTTCCTTCTGCCCACAAACGCCATCATCAACGCGCGCGCGAAGCAGCAAAAGCCACCCCCAACATCCCACGCGTAGTGCTTTCCATTATGTACAGGGCCAGGCCCACCCGTTCCAGGCCCTCCTCCTGAGAAGGAGCTAACATTTCAGCAACGTTTGAGCACACATTTTGTCATTGTTCTCTTGCAAAGTCTTCACTTTGGTAGCCTGGCGGGCTACGGGGAGAGCCATCGCTGCTTTGCCTTGTTGTCAAGACCCTCCACGCCTCGAGGCCTTACCTCGACGCGCTCTGCTGCTTGCATTTAGAGGTATCAATGGACAAGACGCTTTGCTTCTGCGCGGAGATGGCCTTCTGTATCCTGAGCAAGGCCTACGGCCCGACCACGGACGGACTGGCGCAATCCAGGGCCTGACCTACACGAGCTCACGCTGCAGCGCGGTGCGCCAGTGAAGAGTTTCAGCAGGACGCCTGGCTGGGGCCCCGCATCGACGGGAGCCCCTTGAAGACGTACGTCGCCAGGCTAAAGCTGTGGTACCGGATTTGCGAATCCGTCTCCGTTTCCGACCACGGTTGCTGGAGTCGTTCTTCGACCTGCGCAAATCAAGGCCTCCAGGAATATGACGCGGAGTGGCGCTTGAGGTACGATGAGGGCAACCAGCGTGCGGGCCTGGCTGTGAATAATGTCGCCAAGAGCCTCTCGCCTCAGCAGCACCAGGATGATCTTCAACGACAGCAGGACCCTCCTGCTCATGAGTGGGAAGAACCACTCGCGGAAGGAGCTGAAGGTGACGATCAAGCAGAACACGCAGGTAGATTTGAGACGGACGACGCCCCCCTCGACGGCAAGAGCACGGGCAAGGGTGTCTTTGGTAGCGGCTGCTTCGTTTGTGGCAGCAATTAGCGCACGGCGGCGGGCTGCCCGGTCTCTCGTGGAGGTGGAAAGCCCGGTGGCAAGTCCATTGGCGCGCAGTCCAAAGGTAAGGGAAAGAGCAAGGGCAAGGACCAGCGCAAGGCCTATGGCAACCCGTTTGGCAAAAGCTCTGGACACCGACTACGAGCAGAAGCAGGCCCGCCAGACGCGCCGCGCCCAGCGTGGTCTGACGGTGCACGAGCAACCCGACCGGATAGTCGCCACGGGCAAGGCCGAGTACTTCAGCATAGCCAAAAAGATCTCGGAGGCCGAGATGCTGTTGAGCTTCATTTTTCATGCTAGCGCCTCAAGCGCTAGGTTGCCAGCTTCTCGTCCGTGGGCAACTTGTGTGGAGACGGAGAACCTGGTGACGCTTGTCATACCGCCGGAGCGGCGCCTCAACAACCAGACAAGCAGCGCACGAACGGCCGACTGCCGTTGAAACCTACTACCAGCCGCCATCCGAAAAAGCCGGCAGCAGATCGCCTGACTGATCTTGGAGGCGCAGGACACGCTGCAGTCGGAAGCTTGGTGAGATGCCGCCTAACTCCACACCATGGTCGATTTCAGCGAATTGCTTCATTGTCTTCTTCAGGATCCCCGGAATGCCTTCTCTTCTTGGTCTGTCCTTCTCGGATTGGCTCGCATTGACGTGGGCGTGGAAATGAGCGAAACCCATCATCTTGCTCTGCGTCTTCTGACTTGGTCTTTCTTTGCCCATGACCCAAAAGTTATTCTGAATGGTTTGTCAATGATGTTCTGCGGAGTCCCCTGTGATGTTGATGCCGTGGCCCTTCTTTGTGAGTGCGAGAGTAACCGCAGCGTTTCGCCCGCCATGTACGTGCCGCAATGCTGCATCAAATGGCTCAGCATCAAGGCTGACATCGTCTACGCAAGCCCCGCAATCCAGCATCTTGAGGAGCTCCTCTTGGAAGGTCGCGCGTAGCATGAAAGTCATCTCCACCTTGTCGATCGGATTGATCTTTCGATCCTTTTCAACGGCACTGGGCGCGACCTAATCACGCCGAAGTTCCGACCCCGGCTCCTGCGAATGCAATAATGTCGGGCCCGTGCGTTGCGTTGTGAGCAAGCCATTCAACTAAGAATGCCTTGTTCTGCAACCTGGTACGAAATGGTGGATGTGTGTCAACATTCACGAGGTTGCCAGTCAGGACGGCCTTGAT